TCTGACCTCTGTCATCGTCAGGCCGGTCCCACCCATCTTTGGGTGGGGTCTAGGCCCACAGTGGGAGCCCAGGGAGCAGGCAGAGGAAGTTGAAGAGAATCCTGGTGGTGAGTGGAGGTCAGGACAGGAGGTCAGCACGGAGGAGGGGGCTACACCTCACTGGCCCTGCCCTCCCCTCCCCCATGGCACCACAAGGCACGCAGCCGCATATCACCCGTGCCAGCCCTCACCTCCCGGCAACGTCGCCGCATTCTCAGCCACGCCATCTGGCGTGCCCGCCGCTCCCCAGCATACTGCGGCGGGCGGGGAGGAGGGGGCAGTGGGGCAGGTGCCCACCCCAGAGCCAGGAAGAAGCTGCAGGTCCCCCTCCCCCAGCATCTTTTGGACTTGATGTGGGGCAGGGGCTGGGGAGGGAGGTGGCAGGTGCTCTGATGCTTCAGGAGGAATATTCGAGCATCTTGAACTGCTGGAACACTGCTGGGCAATGCCAGCCTGTCCCCTCCCTTTCCCCCTCCCCCCACAGCACGGCTAATGGCAGGAACACAGGCCCCTCAATGATCTCCAAATTCCTGCCCTTCCCCTCAAATCTGAGGAGGGGAGTGAGAAGACAGGCAGCCCCCTTCCTTCCCACGCTCCCAAGCTCTCTGGGTTCTCACCTGCCAGCCCCACTCAGCCCAGAGAGGCCCCAGGAGGTAGATAAATGTGTGGCTGAGGCCAGGGGCTGGACACCTGGGTTTGATCCACCTGCCGCCGCCCTCCCTGCCTGGAGCTTTGGTGGGAAATCAAGTGTCCTTCAGTGCCCCCACCAATCTCATTCAGGGGTGGTGACCACCAATCTCATTCGGGGGGTGGTGACTGGCTAGCTGTCCTTCTGGGTGTCAGAATGGAGTGGAGCAGTTAAAGATTTATGTATGTATTTTGGTGGAGCAGGGGGTATAACGAGAGCAGTTTCTAGAACACTCTTCCTGTGCCCTGAGCAAGAGTCCCCCAGACTCCTCAGGGATGACCTCCCACCTCCCTGACACACACACTCTGCCCCCCTCACCCCTGCCCCCAGGACCTGAGCCTGTACAAAATGGCCGCTACCCCTCTGAGGCAGCCATTTTAGGTGCCCAGACTGTGGCCTCCCTTGGGATGGGGCTATGTCTCCATGGGAACCTCAGGCCCCCCAGCTCGCAGTTCCTTCCAAGAGGAGTGGGCAGCAGCAATGGGGGCCTTCCAGGCCTGGCTGAGGTGCCCATCACTCCCTTTTTTCTCTCAGAGACCTGGAGGGGACCAGGCCCCTCACCAACTCCCTTCCCCCAATGCCAGGGGGAGGAACAGATGGCATCTCTGGGTGTCCTTCTCCTTCCGTCTCCTTCCTTCCATTTCTGGCTCTTTCTGTCTCTCCGTCACTGCATCTCTGCATCTCTGGTGCACAGAGAGACGCGCGTATGTCCCTGCGTGTTCATGCTTGCTCGTGTGTATGTGAACACACGTGTTGTGCCTCTTTCAAGCCCATGTCTGAAGCAGGCCCATCCCACACCTCCCTCTGTTCCAATTTTCCCCTGGTTTTTATTGTATCTTCTAAAAAAAAGTTGAAATGTGTCGAGTGAGAAAAACTTGTTCCATTTTTCTGAAGGAAGAAAAGACAGAGGCAGGAGACAGAATGAAAGGGATGAAGTCCTCAGGTGCACACCCGAACCTCAGGCCTCCTTCTCCGGGTGACTGAGGGGAGCTTCTCAGACCCAGAGAGTTGAGGTCATTCCTGACAGGTGGCTGGAAGGGTGGCAGGAACCCTCCACCCAAGGGCTCCCCTATCCTGAACAAGTTTTTACCTCCTTCCTGGAGGGGCCTGTGATACCCCTGGTGGGTTTAACCCAGCCCTCAGTGTCCAAGGGAGAAGGCAAGAAGGCACAACTTTCTCCCCCAAGGAAGCATTTATTCACCTATTCATCCATTCACTTGCCCATCAATTCAACAAAAATTCAGTTTCTATATAGACCAAGCATTCTGAATGTGTGTGGGGAGGGGTATGAGCAAAAAAATTAACGTTGTAAACATAATATTGTAAAGGTGTTTTAATTAAGAGTTGGCATTTATTGGAGGCTCATTTGTGGCATGGATTATCCCATTTAGTATTAACAACAGCCCTATGAGGGTGTAGCATAATTTATCCCATTTTATAGATGAGGAAATCAAGACCAAGACATGTTATATAACTTGCTCAAAGCATTCAGCATTTTTTAATTTTTTTTTTTTTTTTTTTTTTTGAGACAAGGTCTAGCTCTATCACCCAGGCTGGAGTGCAGTGGCGTGATCACAGCTCTCTTCAGCCTCTGCCTCCTGGTCTCAAGCGATCCTCTCACCTCAGCCTCCGGAGTAGCTGGGACTACAGGCATGCGCCGCCATGCCTGGCTAATTTTTGTATTTTAGGCAGAGGCAGAGTTTCACCATGTTGCCCAGGCTGGTCTCGAACTCATGAGCTGAAGGGATCTGCTGGCCTTAGCCTCCCAAACTGTTGGTATTACAGGTGTGAGCCACCGTGCTGGGCCCAGCATTTTTTTTAAGTTGGTAATGGGGTTGGCCAGGAATCAGAAGCCCAGAGCATGAGCATGTAATCGAAATACCACAGAGCCAGGAGACTCCAGGAGAAAGGCTGCCAGTCAGAATTGAGGACCCTGCCTCAGTAAACGGATTGCAAAGCCTTCGAGGCTGTGCCCAGACTTGGTGGGGGCTGGCCAGCACTCCCGAGTCTCTGGCCTACCTGAGGCCTGTCCTTTGGCCTCTTTCTCTGCCATGCCCAGAATCCCCCCACCCCAACTATCTGCCATAGATGAGATTCCCCTTGCAGACCCAGGTTCCGGGAATGAAGGGAAGCATGGTAGGCTTGTTTTTAGAGACCACTAAGGCAGATTGTGGGCTTATAAGTGGAGCACTGGCCTGTGGGTCAAGTGCCTGAGTTCTAGGACCAGTTCTGTGTTTCCCCTCTGTGTTCCTAGGCAGGTCAGTTTCCCTCCATGGGCCTCTGTAAGAGGAGGAGTTGGAGAGGTACATTCTCAGGCTACTTTCAACTCCTGGCCAAGTGACTCAGGCAGCACCAAGAGTCTCCGGCAGCACTAGCACCCCTATCTCCAAGGCCTCCTGATGTGTGTCTCTATTTCCAGCCTACCCAACATTAGATCAGTGTCTTACCAAGGTCCCTAGGGAGCCTCCTAGAGGGAGAGAGCCTGCCCACCCAGACTGAGGGTAAAGGCCTCCCCGTGCTCATTTTTGTACAACCACAGTGCTTGGCACATGGTGGACATCAACATGTGTGTGCTGAAAGTATAATTGAAGTTGTGTGCATATGTCAACCAGAGTGTCTGGAGGGGCATGAAATGTGGGTCTAAAACACACAAATGCCCGAAATGGGGTGTGGACAAGGGTCTGTCTACACCAGGCTGTGATCCTGCTCACATACATGTGTCTATCTGAGTAGCGGTGTGTTCTCTATTTTTCCACACCACAGGGTGAGGAACAGGTATGTGTGTGCATGTGTATGCATGCCTATGTGTGTGTATGTGTGTGTGCATGAGAGTGTGTGTGTGTGTGTGTGTGTATCCAAAGCCACCTCTTCAACCTGTGCCATTTGTGTCTGCGTCTGGCCCAGTGAGAGGGTTGAAAGGTGAGCCGCAAGATCAAACAGCAATTTCTACCTTCCTTACCAAGACACCTGTCTGACCTACCTCCCCTTGGCCACTCTTGGGATTACTGGGGTTGGCTTCAGTATTTTCAGATTTTTCACAAGGGGAGGAGAATACTTGAGTCTCATCCAGGAACTTAGGCAGTTCTCAGCACTGCCTGTTCCTCCTCCCTCAAATAACCAAGTCTGAAGGCCAAGAGAGAAAGCCGCTGGTGGACTGGTCACCTGTCTGACAGTGGGAGGAGGAGAGTGAGAGGTTTCTAGGTTAGGAATCCAGACTTAGACCCTCCCCTCCACCCCCAGATGGGTGGTGCACAGGCTCATCTCACAGCCCCTCCCCACCTCCACCCTAACATGGATACGCCCCCAACAACCAAAGAAAGATCTCCCATCGGCTGACTCCACAGATACACACATGTCCCCACAGACACACACACGCCCATGCAGAGGCACAGACATCCAGGCACATCTTTCCCTTTCTCTGTCTTTCCCTTGGTTTGAATTTCGTTTAGCCACATATGTTGTGTGTGCGTGAGGGCGGGTGGGGGAGGGGCAGACAGAGATGAGGGATGGCATGGTGCCAATATCTACCTATGGGGCTCGGGCCAGGGACGCCCCTTACAGCCTTCCTGGGAGGGGGCCTCAGCTGTCCCTTTGTGGCCAAGGGGACCCTCCTGGGGAGTGGGGGCAAGCACAGAGGTCCCCTCTCCCCAGCCCAGGGTCTGGTCCCTGACCCACCTTGGGGGCCTGCAGGGGAGGAAATGGACAGAGCGGGACCCTGAGGGAGGATAGAATTGGCTACCATGAGTCCCCAGTGTCCAGCCTTGCCACCCCATTGTTCCCATGTGGGGGACTCTATATCCAGGGGGGCAACTCCTCCCACCTTCCTCTCAATCCCTGCTTTCCCTGCGTTGGGCGGGGAGGGGAGGGCAGCAGAAATATTTATTTATTTCCTTTATTTATTTAATTTTTTTTTTTTGGAGTAGAGAGTGACAGATGGCGGCGGGTCCCGGGGGAGCCGGCTCTCCCCCAGTGCAGACGCATGCCAATCACCGTCTCTCATGTGATAGCTGCTGCCCGTGACGTGCCAAGCCCATATGGCCTGGCATAGAGGCTGGTACCCCGCCTGGTAGAGATGCCACACTCGCTCCGCGGTTCGCATGGCGCTCTGAAGACGCCGGCGCCCGCCGCCTTGAGGAGCCGCTGCCCCCGCTCCCTGAAGATGGGGGAACAATGAAATAAGCGAGAAGATCCCGCTTCTCCCCCCTCTCTCTCTTGCCCCCTCCCCCCCTCCCCTCCCCTCTCCCCTTGACTCCTCTCCGAGGTAAGTTGTCCGAAAGGGAGCTAGATCTGACCCGCCGGTTGGGAGGGGGGGCGGCAGCTTCGGCCGAAAGGAGGGTCCTCAAATACCTCCTTCCTGGGATGATGCCCTCCTCATTGAGTGGGCATCGGAGGCGCCCCAGATTCTCTCTCCCTTTGGGGCTGCAGCCCAGGGGGCTGCAGAGGAGGTGTCTCTGCCTGCGATGGGCTCGGTGGGGGTGGGGGGAAGGCAGGATCACGGAGGGGGAGATGCGAAGAGGCCGAGACGGAGGACCCCTCCATGGTTGTCCCAAAAAGCCTGCGACCTTTCCCCACCACCAAAAAAAAGGGAAGCAAACAAACAAATTTGGATTTTTCCCCATCAATCCCCAAATACAACGAGATCTGAAGAGCCGTGTGGGAGGGAGGCAGCTTGAAGGGGGAAGGGGGTCCCTGACCGTAGCGGGGACGGACTGGGCTCGTTTCTCTCAGTCTCCTCCCCATGCCCTGCTGCTTCAGTCCTCACCGCCCAGAGCCGGCTCCGGGAGCTGGGGACGCATCGGCTAGAGGAGACGATCCTCCCGCCTCTGGAATTGGGGGTGCGGGGGTGGGGGCCAAGCAAGGGGCGGCGCGCAGCCAAGTTGCAAATTGGATTAGGGAGCGTGGGGGTGAGAGCCACGGGAGGGGTAAGGGAGCTGGGCCGAGGGGCCCGGGCCGAGAGAGCGCTGAGCGGGGCAGCTGTCCCCACCGGCGGCCGACCAGCCTGTCTCCACTGCCAGGAGAGAACAGGCTTTCAGGGCGAGTGCGCCGCCTTCCCTGGCAAAGATATCTGGTCCCTAAAATCCCCACCCGGTCTCTGCCCTGACCCTGAGAAGAAGCAGGCGCGGGGAGCAGCCCCCGATTCAAGCGAGGGGCGGAGCCGGGGCCCAGAGCCTGGGAGAGGGCCTGGGCCGAGATCCCAGGCCGGCAGCCGGGTAGGGCTGGGCCGGCTCTGGGCGGGGCAGGCGGCGGAGGTGGGCATCCAGGGTAGCCTAGGCAGGAGCCTGCACGAGACTCGGGGGTGGAGACGGGTTGTGGGGGACGTCGTGACCCCAGCGTGCCCCTCACTTTGTGCTGTCTGTCTCCCTTTCCCGCCCACGGGGCGCCCTCAGGCACCATGCTGACCCGCCTGTTCAGCGAGCCCGGCCTTCTCTCGGACGTGCCCAAGTTCGCCAGCTGGGGCGACGGCGAAGACGACGAGCCGAGGAGCGACAAGGGCGACGCGCCGCCACCGCCACCGCCTGCGCCCGGGCCGGGGGCTCCGGGTCCAGCCCGGGCGGCCAAGCCAGTTCCTCTCCGTGGAGAAGAGGGGCCGGAGGCCACGTTGGCCGAGGTCAAGGAGGAAGGCGAGCTGGGGGGCGAGGAGGAGGAGGAAGAAGAGGAGGAAGAAGGACTGGACGAGGCGGAGGGCGAGCGGCCCAAGAAGCGCGGACCCAAGAAGCGCAAGATGACCAAGGCGCGCTTGGAGCGCTCCAAGCTTCGGCGACAGAAGGCGAACGCGCGGGAGCGCAACCGCATGCACGACCTGAACGCAGCCCTGGACAACCTGCGCAAGGTGGTGCCCTGCTACTCCAAGACGCAGAAATTGTCCAAGATCGAGACGCTACGCCTAGCCAAGAACTACATCTGGGCGCTCTCGGAGATCCTGCGCTCCGGCAAGCGGCCAGACCTAGTGTCCTACGTGCAGACTCTGTGCAAGGGTCTGTCGCAGCCCACCACCAATCTGGTGGCCGGCTGTCTGCAGCTCAACTCGCGCAACTTCCTCACGGAGCAAGGCGCCGACGGTGCCGGCCGCTTCCACGGCTCGGGCGGCCCGTTCGCCATGCACCCCTACCCGTATCCGTGCTCGCGCCTGGCGGGCGCACAGTGCCAGGCGGCCGGCGGCCTGGGCGGCGGCGCGGCGCACGCCCTGCGGACCCACGGCTACTGCGCCGCCTACGAGACGCTGTATGCTGCGGCAGGCGGTGGCGGCGCGAGCCCGGACTACAACAGCTCCGAGTACGAGGGCCCGCTCAGCCCCCCGCTCTGTCTCAATGGCAACTTCTCGCTCAAGCAGGACTCCTCGCCCGACCACGAGAAAAGCTACCACTACTCTATGCACTACTCGGCGCTGCCCGGCTCGCGGCCCACGGGCCACGGGCTAGTCTTCGGCTCGTCGGCTGTGCGCGGGGGCGTCCACTCGGAGAATCTCTTGTCTTACGATATGCACCTTCACCACGACCGGGGCCCCATGTATGAGGAGCTCAATGCGTTTTTTCATAACTGAGACTTCGCGCCGGCTCCCTTCTTTTTCTTTTGCCTTTGCCCGCCCCCCTGTCCCCAGCCCCCAGAGCGCAGGGACACCCCCACCGACCCCAGCGCCGGGCGCGGGGAGCGGGCCACCGGTCCTGCCGCTCTCTTGGGGCAGCGCAGTCCTGTTACCTGTGGGTGGCCCGTCCCAGGGGCCTCGCTTCCCCCAGGGGACTCGCCTTCTCTCTCCCCAAGGGGTTCCCTCCTCCTCTCTTCCAAGGAGTGCTTCTCCAGGGACCAGTCTCCGGGCGCTCCCTGGAGACACCCCCTCCCCCATTCCCAATATCTTCGCTGAGGTTTCCTCCTCCCTGCAGGCCCAAGGCGTTGGTAAGGGGGCAGCTGAGCGATGGAACGCGTTTTACCCTCTCATTATTATTTTAAAAACAGACACCCAGCTGCCGAGGCAAAAAGGAGTCAGGCGCTCCCTCTTTCTTGAAGAGGGTAGAAGTCAGGGCGCCGGAGCCCGGGCCTGGAACGCCCTCACCCCCAACCTCCAGTCTCCGCGTTTTGCGATTTTAATTTTGGCGGGAGGGGAAGCGGATTGAGAGGAGGGAGAGGCCAAGAAAATTTGTAACTAGAATCTGTTTTTCCCTTTTCCTTTTTTTAAACAAACAAACATACAAAAGAAAAAAAAAAAAAAAAAAAAAAAAGCTAAGACGCGACGGAAGCCGAACGCAGAGTCCGGATCGGAGAGAAAACGCAGTAAGGACTTTTAGAAGCAATAAAAGGCAAAAAAAACAAAAAACAAACAAAAAAAAACAAACAAAAAAACCACTACTACCAATAATCAAAGACACAAATATCTATGCAAGGAGGCTCCACTGAGCCTCGCGGCCCGGCCCGGCCCCGGGATGCCCCGCCCGGCCCGCGGGCCGCCCCGCCCGAGCGCGGATCTGTGCACTTTGGTGAAGTGGGGGCCCGCGCCGCCCCCTCCCCCTCCCCAGGTTCTTACAATCAGTGACTCGGAGATTTGGGGCCCCAGTGCCACTGCCCTCCCCCGCCCCGTCCCCGTTGTGCGTCATGCTGTTTTTTAAAAACCTGTTTCCAAATTTGTATGGAATGGCAAACTGTTGGGGGGTCGGTTTGGGGAGGGAGGGTTTGCATGAAAGACACACGCACACCACACCGCACGCACAAACAGGCCCGGCGCCGACGTCCGGGGGCGCAGAAGGAGGTGAGCTCGCCGGCTCCTCCTCCCCGCGGGCACTTCTGTCCCCTCCTGGGGTGAGGGGTGGGGATGGAGACCTGGGGGCAGCCCCACTCCTGCCCGGACTGTGCCTCGGTGGGTGCCAGGCGCAGGGCGATTTCCGGTGTCTGGAGAGAGTATTTTTTGGTCCAAGGAGTCCTCCTGGCTTTAGCTGGTGGGTGGGCGGGGAGAGGTCTGAGGGCTCCTGCTGGAGGTTCCCCCAAAAAGGGGCAAAAGGAGACCTTCTCCCCACCGGAGGCAGGGGATCAGGCATCCAAATACACGATGCAAAAATGCAAACCCACAGGCGACACACCCACACACTCACCCACACACACGCAATTTTACCTTCCTCTTGTAGCGAAGATGAAACTCCCGTCGGACACCCGAAGTGCATTGCGTGTTTCTGTTCAGTTTAATGACGATTAATAAATATTTATGTAAATGAGATGCAAAGCCGGACCGGTTTCTCACGGTGGCCTCATTTCATTGAGCAGGGAGAGAAGATTTGAGCTGGGGCTGGGGTCATGAAGGCAGAGTGTCAAGTGACTGTGCAGAGGCCAAAGAGAGGGACCCTGGACATTCTTGGGTAGGATTCCCGCCCTAACCACCCCCCATACACCCACTGGGCTATACTAGCTACCCCTCCCGGACCCAACCCAGGCTCGCACCTTCCCAGCACTAAAGCACTGACATCCTTACACTTCTTCACTCCCGGACATGCACAGGCACCTCCCTTGAAAACAAAATACCTTTTCATCACCGAAAAATGATCAAGTTGGAAACAGCCCGTCATTTTACAACTCTCTGCCCACTGTTGCAAAAAGCAAGTGGGCAGAGACAAAGAGACAACCATTGAACCAGACAGGGGTATTTTTAAACAAACAAAAAAAATTATAAGGTCATGAAGATGAAATATTAATGCGGGAGGCCCCTTTTTCATCTTAAAGTTGTGTTTGGGTGGACTCAGGGGAATCAGCCATTTTGGTCTCAGGAATGTTGACATTTTTAGGGGTGTCGACAAGGTTGGAGGAACACCCCCAGAGGTCTATGAGGTGGCTGAGTCTGAGTGCCCACCCAGTAGAGAGGAACCTAACCATGTTCTCCCCTGGGACAGGGCAGCAGGTGCCCACCCCATCCAAATCTGGGCTGATTTCTTCCTGCCTGGTACAGTTCTGAACAGAGGGAACCCTAAGGGCTTAGAAGGGAGGAAAGGCACTGGATGAGTATCTCCTGCTCAGATAACGCGGCCTCACAATTCTTTTTTCTCTGAACCTCAGAGGCAGGGGCAGCTCTTAACTGACTTCCCTGAAAGAGCCCCTTCTACTCCCCCTGCTCAGCGCTCAGTGCACGCTGTAGTCCTAGAATATTTGAAGAAGGTTCTGAGCCCCAAAGACTCCAATCCTAAAGCCTGAATACATTTAGGAGTCCCCCAAGGAGGCTGTTTCTGATGCTGCTCATTTAAATTATTTCTCCAAACACTGTGGCTCGTTTTAGGGCTGAAATGGAGCTTGTAGTGTTGGGGTTGAGGATTAAGGTCAAGCGTGCAAAGGCTTTTAAAGATTGGGTCCAAGAACCCAAAATAATATCTCCCTGACAAGCAGGAAAGGGAAAGGTTGTTGAAGAAGGAAGTCCTACATGTCAAAGGGTGGATCCAATTATACTCTGAGCTTGAGCTCATTGCATCTTCTAAATGTCTGTCCTCAAACCCTTTCTGTCCCCCAGTAGAAAGGATACCCTCCCCGTGGTCAGGAAGGCAGTCAGCAGAGGCGCCAAGGCCAGGAGCTGTTCACTCTGGGGTGCTGACCCTCGTCCAGTGTCTTTCCTTTCGGCTGCAGAGGGAGGTCTATGTGCCTGACCCAGGGGAACATGGAGCAGGGGGCCCTTTCCAATGCCGCGCCGGAATTCTCCAGCAGTTTTCAGAACATTTTTACCAGCATTCTTTCAAAATTTCACTGCCTTCTCTGGAATTCTCCCGACATCGCCTCTCTAGAGTGAGATCACAGACTGGGGCCTTCATCCCCCGTATGTGTCCCTGTCTTCAGCATCTTATAAACCTCTGAATCACTCTTATTCATGGAAGAAAGGAGTTGGCCCATCTTCCTTCCCCCTCACTTATTGCAGGGAGTGTGGAGCAAGGCACATATCCCAGATCCTAACCTGCAAAAGTCTGATCTGCACTCATGGCATAGGGCAAGGCCTGGCGGGGCAATTGCAGAGAAAAGGAATTTGGCACTTATCCCAAGGCCTGATTCTTATCCTGCCCTGGGAACAAGGTTAATTGGGCTTCTCCCCTACTCAGCCAGTTTCCTAGAACCTGCTCAGAAGTCCAGAGCTGGGCGGGATTGGGGCCTGAAGCAAAGGACCCCTCCATGTGGCTCCCCTGGCCAGACCACAGACTTCTTTCTATGCATTGTTCTTCAGCTACCCTACATGGCTCAATTCTGTTTTGAAGCAGGATTCTAGCCCTTTTAGAAAGATGCTGACGACTCTTGGGCCTGTGTGACTGTGATCACATTAGGTGGGGGTGCACGGGTCCCTTTTGGGACAGAAATCCCCCTGAGTGACTCCGCTTCTAGTGAATCCCGGCATCCACACCAGTCTCCACTTTCCCGTTTCCTGACCCTTCCCCCCACATTCCCTGCACTCTGGCTGGCTCTCGCCTCTCATCACCCTCCTCCCCAGTGCTCAACTTCCCTGGCGAGATGGTGTGATGAACAGGAGAAGAAGATGTGCACGGACATGCGGCCCCAAACGTCCCCTTGCAGGTCTCTTTCTCTTGCTTGCTCTCCCGCCTGTGCACACACACCCAGATATGCTCCAAGAACAGAAGCAGGGGAGGGTCCAACGTAGTGCCCGGCCTGGGGAGAAGGCACAGATAGGATGCCCTTCTTGCCCTAGCCTCAGCGTCAGGATCTCCAAGCGCCCACCAGCCAGCTCAGTTCAACCCCTGGGCCGCGGAACTCGACGACTGGATCCAAGTTCAATCAGGAGGACTTCTTCCTCTTGATTTTCCAGCCCCCATTCTAAGTCCAGCATTTGGAAGGTGACAGAGAAAAAGAGGTATCTCTGAGTCCAGGCCATTTGCCCATCTGGCAAGAAAGGGAAGGAAAGTAGTTACTCCCTGTCCCTTCACTGTTAAGCTCCATTCCTGTCCCTTCACCGTTGAGCTCCGTTCCAGCCATGACTCAGACAGTGAGCCATGGACTCCCAGTAAACCCCCAGCCCTGATTTTGTGACTCGGGGAAACAGCCCGATAAATCACTGGGGGACACCGACCCCCATGAGGGTCAGTGGCAGGAAAACCCTGACACTCTGGAGGCTCCATGGGGCGCGACTGCTTCTCTTTTTCCCTTTCATGGGAAAGTCCACAAGCTGATGGACACAAGAATTTCTGGGCAGAGGTCAGAGATTTCGTTCTCTCTTGGGCATCCTTGCTTCCTCCTCTTCCCCAGAATCATTTTCAGGAATTCACCTGCTCTGAGGGGAGCCATTGATTTGAGGGGGATTGGGACTAAGATATGGTTCTAGATTCTACAGTTTAGTCCTTAAGGAAGCTGGGGAGAAAGAGAAGGCAGAAACCAGGACTGAGCAGCTTTAGCCTGACCTATGCTCCCAACCCCTCCATGGCAACAGAGGGGCAGCGCAGGACTCCGCATCTGACCTGCTCCAGTGTGCTCAAAGGAGGATGCTGCTTTTTGCGAAAAGTGGGAGGGGCAGATGGGCCTCTGCTGTCAGAACAGGCTTCCCAACTCACAGCCCAAGACACTGTCATTTTTCCATCCTTCAGGGCTGGGATACCCAGGCGCTGGCTACGGGGCCAGAGCAGAAATGACACCTGAACTGTGAGAAACCTTAAAACCCTGCCCCGGTTCTGAATTCTGAAGCAGCTTCTGCCTTTCTGTCCTGCAGCTTTAAAAATTCTCGACAAAGTTTCCCTAGGTGAGAAGTGGTAAGAAAGGGCGCAGCTGCTTTGGGAGGGCTGTTTTGCTCTGGAAACTTTCTCCATCCTAAAGCACTGGGACAGGGGCGCCAGCCCTGGGAGTGTGGACCCGAGAAGAAGGCCAAGACCAGGGCTGGGTTCACAGGAAGGAGGGCAACGGATTTCAGGAAGGAGATGCGAGGAGCGGAGTCACCTTAGTTCCCTAGTGCAGGGAAGGGAAGCTGGGGCGCTCCGAGGGGAGGAGAAGAGGGAACCTCTAGGCGCTGGCCATGCCCAGGGAGCTGGGGTACAGCGTTGGTTGGAGACGCTGCCCAGGTGTGAGCCAGGGTATGGCTCTAGCGCAGCCAACTCTCCTGCCCGCTCCAGCGCGGGAGCGCAGCGCGGTCTCCCCGGGCTGACGCGGGGCTGCGGAGTTCCATACCAGAGTGTGTGTCTGGTGTTTGGGTATTTAAACCTCTCTCTCAGGCTCTCTCCGTATCTGTCTGCGTCTCATTCCTCTTTTTGGAATTAATTGAATTAGGAACGGGT